TGAATATTTTGAAGCTCTGGGGTTTCAAAAAACGAAGGAACCATTACACCTACCCTGACTTAGGATGGGTAAGAAATGGGCATAGAAGAGACCATGATACCCAACAGAAGCTCAAAACTCCCAAGTATTCCTCTCCACATCCTTTTTGCAGCTCAGCTTGTAGGCAACACGATCAAATGGAAGTTAAACAAGACTGTTGAGCTAATATATGTGTTAGCATGTGGCATACCAATTTACATGAATCTAAGAAGAGGGTTTTCCCCCTTTTAACCTGGGGGGGTTGGTAAAAGCCCCTCATCTTGGAATCAACTACAAGGCAGGGAAGTACAGGGGTGTACCCCACCACCACCACTCCTGCTGCTGTTTCCCCCATTATAGCACTGGGCAGGGGATAAATTTAAAAGAACCCTCCAATTTGTAAGATTTTCCATGTCTGGAATCTAAATATTGGAGGCCCATCTTAAATATGAAGTAATCTTGGATTTGTGTAAATTCAGTATTATTGACAAACACATTACAGCACAGAGAAAAGTAAACACATGGTGATCAGAGCAAAGTGACCAATAAGCATGCAATACAGGAAGCTTTTTGCCAAGAGTACCATGTTTTTCCTTTTGCTTGAAAGAATTTCACTCTTGAATCTTCCGACCACCATTCACAGCCTACACTTCAAAAAAGTAGACAAGTAAATAATAGCATTCACCATTGCTTTTATCCTACAAACACCTAATCCAATGGTTCACAAACTTTTTAGACTCAAGGCACCCCTCAGAAAATGCCAGCTCTTAATTTTCACTTGGTTTTTTTTACTACAGAAAACTAATAGAGTAATTCTTCTCTGGCCAAGAACTCAAAGTTTTTAACACTATGGATTCCTATTTCAACTCCCTGGGTTTATCTTGTGAATCATATGTCCATACCTAACAGTGCTAACATTGTGTGGCACCCTACTGCCCTGGCACCCTGGCTGAAAATGACTATCCTAACTCAGCACTTCTCAAACTAGAAGCAACAGCAATTACAAGTGGGATTGAGAGACCCTAATTCTCCATAGCCTGCAATGAACAGGGGCTGACAACCTACAAGCTGCTCTGCAATACTGTCCCTGCCCACGTTCAGCTCTCACAGTGGGGCAAGGGCAGGCATGCAAGCAGTTGCTGAAGAGCAGCAAACGTGCAGTGAAAGTCCCATTCCCTGTCGACTGTAAGTACCCAAAAAATTACTACAGTATGGGGTTGCCCAAAAAAAGCAGGTCTGTTGCAGACCGGAGGAGTTTGGGGCCTGCTGAGTAATTCATTGGAAGGTGAGACAAGACAAAAATACACAATAAATCACACAATAAAAGCAGAAAAAAACAGCTGCTTTGCAGGGAAATGTGAGGCTCAACCCTAGATAATGCCACAGACACTTGAGACCTCTTTCTCCTATTGTCTTTATGGCACAAGGATCTGCTGGTATGGTCCTAATCAGAAGATCAGAGCATACAATTCAATTTCCCAAGGACAGATTATCTCACTAGGGCAAAAAGTGTGGTGTTTGCCAAACATTTTGAAAACATGTCCCCATATCTGCTCTAAACAGGTTTATCAGAATGTCTGGTGGAACCATTAACTATTTGTAAATTAAACACAGAAGAGATGAAGCAAATGTCTGTTTGCGTTACACAAGGAATTGCTATCTAGTTTTGATACTCGCATGCTTTTTTGGAAGCTGAGTCTATTCCTAGAGTTGTCAGAAGACCTTACATGAGTGAAAGATGTCTGGTGGTTAGCCTGAAACTTTCCTAGTTTTGCATTAAAGACATTTGGAAAAATTTTAAAGGGGACTCCTGTCACTTTACCACCGCTTTTCAACACACTCAAGGTGGCATAACATTTCGAGGCCTTCTTGAAGACCTGTTGAACCTACGTTGTGGAAGGAGATTCTCCACGTTGGTCGGATGTAAAATTAAAGATTCAGAGTGGTCTCCACATATTTGCCCCTTGCAATAAGACCCTGAAACCTGCCTGGAGCCTCCTGTAATAATTCAGTTTCAATTACTCCTTGTTTAAATTCAGTTCACTATTTCTAAGACTATTTTGAAAACACTGCACAGTCCCAAAGGGCTCAACCCAACTCCCATTCAAGTAAACAGGAGACTTCAAAGGGACCCATTGTACTGTTAAGCTACAAGATTGAATTTTGCTACAGAGTGGTCTCTGGAGTGTTTTTCAGAGCACTTTACAAATATTGCACCAATAAGAACAGGCCTGAACACCCTTGTCCAGGGCACAGTGGACAATCGAGATCCATCTTTTATTCTCCTGAAGTACCTGATGCAATATGAACCCGGAAAGGAAGAAACACTGAATAATTTATCAAGACTATAAAATAAAGGAATCAGGCTAAAAAAAGGTCCACTTAAATATCTGAAAAGGTAACTCACAGCAGAAAGTAAAAAATATATATTTAAGAAATGACTTGTTCCTTTTTTTATTGGGAAATGATGCAATGTTTCCATGTGATAGGGTCAAGTACTATATATTGCTTCTTTAAAACAAAGTTATATAGAAGAATGTGTTTGTTCCTGAGGATTTCAGAAGCAGTACCATCCGCTTACACTCATAAAACTTGTTTCAATACAGTAACAAACAGTGCAATCAGTTTTGGCAACAATGGAAAACATTCTAGGAGGGCTGTATAGTATACAACACCCAATCTATATAAACAATGTTCCCACAAATAAATCCCTAAGCTTAAGAGTGACTGGTTTCAAGTCCCAGAACAAATATACTCATACATGTGAGGGTCTTTTAATTAGAAATGGCAATCCAAATATTTAATAAATTGAAATATTTTTGGAACTTCATGGTGCCTGGAGGCTTCAATCAGAAATACAAAATAATCATAAAAAAATAATGCACAGGTATAATATCTTTGGTTAATGAGCAACCTACAACAATAGGTATTAGACATGTCAATATCTTGACTATTTAAGTCTATGCCCATTAATTTCAGGTATAAGGCATGTAAATGTCTTGACTATTTGAGTCTATGCCCAATCATTTCAATGGAATAAATGCAGGGGCTGCTTGTACAGTTTTTATTGAAAAATAATGGTCCTATACTGCTAGCACCCCGTGGCAGGATGATATCTTCAGCTGTGTTTTGTACAGCTCTGAGCACTCTCTTGAAATGAATATCGACCGCACTTCCATAACCTCTGTTATGAAAAGCATGTCCTTGCAAACCAATTTATATCCAATAGTCAAATAAGATACTCACCATCGCATCCCAATTAACTAGAAAAGAAAGTAGATATAGTTTGGAACCAATATTTCTAGGTTTACAACACAGTCAACAGCGAACAATATGAAAGCTTCCCTCTAATTAAAGGATGTTCCTAGAAGACACAGACCTACTACTTCTTTTCCAGGGACAAGTTCAGTGCCGGTAATATGCTTTAGCTGAAATAAGACTCACAGTACTGTTTTAACAAGCATGAACATACCCCTGCAGTAACACTCGCGGTGCAGAACTGACTACCAACATGCTTTGTTCACTCGAGAAGACTGCTGCAAGTTGGGAAAATGCTCACACTCAGAAGTGTGAACCAATAAAAATTCCTGTGCAGTTGCCGAATGGATAAAAAGGTGAAATAAAGTGGCTGGCTGCAAATCAGTCCAAAATACATCTGGCCAATTTATCATTATTTTTAGATCTTGAGCTTCACCTTGCTGCCCTGGTGAATACAGCATTCCCATGAACTTTGATGGAAGTTTCGTGTCTGTTAAAGGCTGAAAAGGAAGGCCCATTAATTCTGTTTCATAATATCACTAAGACTTGTGCAAAATGGCAATTAATGACCTCCTCCGGCAAGCTTTGCCCCACAGGCCGAATCACAACCTTAATTTTAAACAAATACACCTCTCACTGGAGCCTATAGGAGTTGCATTCCCATAACCAAGAGGAAAACTCAGTTTCCCCAAGTCAAACAGCCTCAGGCATAGTAACATAACCACAAATATATTGCCTTTCTTATCACAGTGCTCAAATAAAGTCTTGATAACTAGGAGGTTAGTTATTTTTAATGCATTCCTGCAAACACCAAATGTTAACAGCAAGGTTAAGTGGTCTTTCCGTTTCAATTTTCTTTATTCCTATCGTAAAATTTGGTACATACCGGCAGTCCTCGGGACTTGCGACACAATTGGTTCCCGAAAACCGCGGCTTACGTCGCAACGTTGTAACTCGGAGACGATTTTCTCATAAGAAATGACGTTATAAACGGGGGATTGGCTCCTGAACCCAAACCCCATACCCTATTTTCACCAAAAATCACCAGGAGTTTTGTACTCGATCAATTATAGAGGAGTCCTATAGCTACATTAATGTATTTATAATGTAAATAGCTATCGTATTGATTTGGAAAGACTTCTTTGAGGTGACTCTGCCGCACTTTTTGCAGCGCTCCTGGCTGGAGTCCCCTCGGGAGGCCTGGCCGTGCGATTTTGTGGCGTCTCATCCGCTTTCTTAAGGAAATTCAGACAGACGCTCTCCAGGGAGACGAGCGACACCGCGAACTCGCTCGCCGGCGTCGCGTCGCGTCGGATCGAGCGTCGTCAAGTCGCAACTGACGAAGCGGGGTGTCGATTGATGAAAATCATAAGTGCAAAACATCGTAACGCGAAACACCATCAGTCGTGTTACATACTACACCGAGTTCTTCCGCTATTTTGAGCCGTTAATAGCCGTTTTAATTAAAGTATAACTCCCCCCCCCCCGCGCCGGTCAAATAAAGATTCACAAGATGAGGCTAAGCAGCATTAACGCATTTTAAAATTCGCATTAGGAAAGCTATGAGTGAAGACGGGGTGAGAGAAGGGAAATAAATTACCCCAGACTAAACTATGGGAAGATGGCTTGTCACCCGAGTTAAGCCGCAATATGGCTAGGGCGGTGTAAGTTGCGCGCGCGTTCCCCGCGGCGCCGTTGGTGAGGGGTGACGGGCGGGGGCGACGGAGGTCCCTCAGGACCGGGCCACGCCACGCTACCTGGGGCCGGAGCGGGAGCGCGAGCATGGCGCCGCCCCCGGCCCGCGGCCTGCTTGACGCGTGTGGGCAGCGCGCAGCCACCCGGTACGTGCCCGCCCGCATTGCGGGGCGAACCGCGCGCAGCAGCGCGCAGCCCCGCGCCGCGCACGCCCTGGGCGCCGCCATCTTCGCCCGGCCCCGCCTCAGCCCCGCGCACAGGCCGCGCCCACACAGATGCCGGGTATGCCCCGTACACGTGTCGGCAGCCTCCGCACTGCTGCCACGCACCTCCGGAGAGGTGCCGGGTATCCCCCTATAGATGTCAGGCACCCCCCTCCCCATATTGCTGCCAAGTGCCCCCCAGAGAGATCCTGGGCTCCCCTAGAGATGCCAGGCACTCATCAGTAGATGCAGGGTATGCCCCTATAGATGCCAGGCCCCCCTATAGAGGGCAGGTGCCCCCTATAGAGGGCTGCAAGCACCCCCAGAGAGGTGTCAGGTTCCCCTATAGAGGCCAGGCACTCCCCCAGATAGATGCCAGGTATCCCCCTATAGATGCCAGGCACCTCCCCACTCCCCATATTGCTGCCAAGTGCCCCCAGAGAGATGCCGGGCTCCCCTAGAGATGCCAGGCACTCATCAGTAGATGTGGGGTATGCCCCTATAGAGGCCAGGCTCCCCTATAGAGGGCAGGTGCCCCCTAGATAGCTGCAAGCACCCCCAGAGAGGTGTCAGCCTCCCCTATAGAGGCCAGGCACTCCCCCAGATAGATGCTAGGTATCCCCCTATAGATGCCAGGCTCCCCTTAGATAGCTGCAAGCACCCCCAGAGAGGTGTCAGGTTCCCCTATAGAGGCCAGGCACACACCCCCACACACACACACCCCATATTGCTGCCAAGTGCCCCCAGAGAGATGCTGCCCTGTCCCCTATAGATGCCAGGTGCTCCCCCAGATAGATGATAGGTCTCCCCCTATAGATGCCAGCTCCCCTATAGAGGGCAGGTGCCCCGCAGATAGCTGCAAGCACCCCTGGAGAGATGTCAGGCTCCCTTACAGATGCCAGGCGCTCACTGGGATAGATGCCAGGCATCCCCCTATAGGTGCCAGGCTCCCCAATAGATGCCAGGCATCCCCCTATAGGTACCAGGGTGCTCTATAGATGCCAGACCTCCACCTGGATATAGGCCAGGCACCCCACCTCAAATCAATGCCATGCACCCCCCTGACCGGTGCTGGGCACCCCGAGATGGATGCACAAGGCCACCTCTTTGCTTCCACTCAGTTGGGTTTTTTTGACTCCAGAAAAATACTAGCACAGGTTTGCTGTGGCCAAGAACTCAGACCATCACGAGGCAAAATGCTTTCTAGCGCTGCAGATTCCTGTTTGAAATCTCAGGACTTTTATCTCACGCATCACGTTTACACACCCCATTAGGCTCACATCGTGTGGCACCTCGCAGCACCCTTGACCAGCTCTCAAAGCACCCCAGGGTGCCCTGATTGAGAATGGCTGCTCAAAGCCTTTTTTTGCAGTCCCAAGGTGAAGCGTAAGCACTGAAAGCGATTCCAGGGCACAGATATGGAGTGGCTCCATTGCTGAGACGCCTGTTTGAGATCCCTGATTTTCAGTCCCTCCTCATGACCAACCCTCTGAAAATCAAGCTCTTTACAATAAGCATTACAGCGAGACGTATGCAACCTCTAGACCTCACTAAAAATATCAGCCCTGACTACAGAGAGAGGCAGGCCACCGGAGCTGAGATTAATATCCCCACTACAGATTTTAAGAAGAGAATTGACCTAGTTCTCTAATTGGATGGAAGATGCAAATCCTACACCTCACACCCAGGTAGACAGAGGGTTGGCTGGTATGGTATAGTTGGAGACGGTCTGGTTTTGAGCAGAGGGCTGGACTAGATGTCACCTGAGAGATCCCTTCCAACCCTAATTTTCGATGATACTAAATCATGCCACTGTGTTACAACCAGGCTATTCCTTGTGCAGAGAAATGTGCTGAGCCTAAAACTCTTCCTCTGTACGGCAAAACCCCCATATCTATTATCTCAGCGGCTCCTTTCACAGCAGTAGTATTTTCTTTCTGATACACATCACCAAAGCTCATCCTTTCATTTTAGGACTTCAAAAAGATATACAACTATTAGGTACCCTCTGAGATAATAAGTAAATATTATCATCCCTGTTTTTATGACTCAATCTCTGTAAATAGTGGGATGAAGGAAGGATTTCAAATCCTATTCTCCTTATGCTAGAATTTGATGAGAGGAAAAGGAGACCTCTGCTGTGAATGCCAAAGGCCCATCGACAAAGATGGCATGTTCCTACAGAAAAAAAAAGCTTGGGGGAAAAAAAAATCAGGGTTTCAGTGGAGTCCCGTTAACAATAAAAGAAAAATTACACATCCCTTACAAAAATTCTACAACTTCATAAAATACAAGTACTGGCAAATACTAAATTGAACACTTTTGTTCCTGCCACCCATATTTAAGTTAAATAATGTGTTTCAATAAAGATTCTGAAGATGCTAGTATTATATTGTAATGCATGGTACTCAGAGTTAACATAAAAATGAATGGAGGCCTTTTCTTATACCAGATTGTGCACAGCCTTCAGTACTATGCTTGAAGAAATATAATTTCAGATTTAGTTTCCTGATTGTGGATTAGTGAGCATACCGTTATCCAGCCACCCAAATGATATTGGCTGGTAATCTTATATGTATATGTAGTAGGTATATAAGCTTTCAGACAACATATGTGGGTTGCATGCTCCAATAACATTTGATATTTGATGAGAAGCACTTTCACTGGCTTGTAAAAATAATGGAGGTATCTCTACATTGTATGCTTTCAATTGTTTAGATCAGGGGTGTCAAGCATATGACCTGCAGGTCAGATCTGGCCCATGGAGCTCTAGGAGCTGGCCCATGAGTCTCAGACCAATCCACGTGCAGCATGTGGAGCGGGTCTGTCTGGTGCATGGGCTGGACCTGGTGCTGCACACAGCACGGGGTTGGTCTAGGGCGCACCTGTGCCAGCCCAGCCCTGAACATGGACTCTAGGGCCGGTCCAGATCAGGCCGTGCAGAGCCAGCATGCAAGCTGGTCTGGTTGGTCAGGCTCCAAATACAGCACAGACCCCATGCCAGTCCCCTGTGCTACATTCAGTGCCCATGCCGCTAAGTCCATCCTGCCCACCACATGCAGCAAAAGCCCCAGAGCAGGGCTGGCATGTGCTACATGCAGGATACAGGGTTGGACTGCCTGCATGCACTGAACACAGCACAGGGTGTGCGCTGCATATTGCACCCCACCAGACCAACCTGGCATGCTAGCTCTCGTGCATGGTCACAGTCCGGCCCGCAGACTGGCCCAGCAACCTTCATCCAGCCCACAAATGAGTTTGACACCCCTGGTTTAAATTTAGCAAGCAACAAAAACATTGAATATCCAATTTTGGACACAAAGAGCTGATTTCTACGCAGGGCATAGGCAGGGAAGAGAAGGTATAGGAACCCCCATCTCCCCCCACCCAACCCAATGCAACAAAAATTCTGATGTGGCACTCAATGTGGTCAGCATTACCTCTGTGTAATGCACTTGGTGTTACTGTTCGGTGCCTATGGAAGCAACAGACTCTTCCTGGTTGGGGCTATATCTCAGCTCCCAGCGGCCTCAGTTGTGACAGGGAGCATATTGTGCTTTTTTCATATAGCCACATCCTGTAATGTCTACTTAGGTGGGGAGACAGCAAAGGAATTAGTGTAAACTCGAATTTCAGGATTGAGGTCAAAGTCCCTACTTTGCTGCATGCAGTCCCTCCAGCTCTCTAAGCTTGCTTCCTGCAGCTGTCCTATGCATATAGCACTTCAGGAAACTGTTCTTGGCCTTCTCCACATCTCCTCCAGCATGCACCAGGCACGCAGACTTTATGCAAAGCTTTTGCTGCTGCAGCTGGGATTTGTTTAGTGTAGAACAGCCACTGACAGTTTTGAAATTAAAAAAGATTTACAGAAACATGCTGGAAGGCATTGGTACACAAATGATTGTTCAGTCCCAATGGCTGGCAATTTTAATACTAAAATACTTTTTAAAAAGTTACCTTATATCGTCAACTGGCATAATTTTAAGTGTTCTTGCATTTCTTTTTCTTTACTGTGGCAGGACTTGGTAATGTGAAATAACACACTTTTTCTCATATCCACATAGATGACCTACCTCCCAAACCATTTTTCATTAAAGATGTCTGTCAGACCCAGCACATGAATGATGTATCCAGTAGTTCAAAAAGGTTGTTTATCATTAACTTTTCATTTAAACATAAAATCATTTGACAAATACAAACTCATTATAACCAGCAGAGCTGAATGGAATTTTCTTTCTTCCTTTAATAATTTTTCCAAATAACTTATCTGAATTCATGCTGATACATGTCAGGAATAAAATCATTATTACAGCAGTTAAGCAAAAAGCATTTAGATTTTTATGGGTAACATTGTTCTCTAATTTAGAACGAAGGAGAATTAGACAAAAAGCTGCTTTCCTTATTCACGTTATCAGTTCCGTTGACTTGGATGGGATCCTTCTGAGTAAAGTGAGCAGAATTTGCCCTTTTTGCTTTCATTTTGATCACGGACAATATAAACACTCCAATTTGTGAGTAATTTTCCTCCTTTCTCCAGGTATTTTAGACAATAGTATGCCAGGAGCTTACTGTCTAGCTTGTGATTACATTTGTATCAAACACACAACACTAAAAGCAATTAATTTCCACACCCTTTTCCTTGTGCCGACTTTTTAACTATATATGTGGAAGAGGAGATAACGCTAAGCCATGCTCTGGTGGGACTTTATGGTAAGCCCTGCCAAAAAACTTGCTACTATCAATGTGAGAAGTAAGGCAAGGACAGAGAGCTAGTGGTACTTGAGGTCAAAGCCAGAATGAAAAGGCTAATAGAGAACGTCATTAACCCAAGAAAGAAATCATTAGCAAACAAAGGCATTTCAAGGGGACGAAGTTAGAAAAGTTTCAGGGGAATAGTGGTTATGTAGGACTCTTGCAACTGCATGCTGTAATTGTGGAGGATGAAGAGCACTGAGACAACTGGACAATACCACCCATTTCAGACATGGTGCCAGAAACAAGCAAAATGTGTGAGAGAAACCAGGATATGAAAACTCAACTCCTTCATGGGCCTAGCTTGGGTGGCTGAGTAGGCAGAGATGGGAGAACAAGGTCAGAGCCTGAAGGGATTGATAGTGCTGTTGGCCCCTAAGTGCCCAGTGCTAATAGTTCACTCATCAGAGACTGAGCTTCTCTCCAGATCCTACGCCCACCTCTTCCCCCACATTCCAGCATCGTCCAGCCCTCGATAAGAAACGGTCATGGCATCCAGTCAGATGCAGCGGTGAGTGCATGAAATAACAGATCAAGGTAAACACCAGTACAGTAAAAAGATGGGAAGCAAAAGGAGGGGTGGAAATAGAGAATGAGAAGCAAGAAGATTGGAACATAACACTGGAAGTAACCTCCTGGGTCCTGTGCAGTCCCCTGCTGCCAGCAGCAAACACATCTCACGATCCTTTTCATACAGAAAGAAGGAAGCACTTGGGTAAAGGAGAGTGGTTCATGGAAGCAAATACCAGATGAGCAGAAGCTTCTGAGGTTGGCAGGATAGATTTTGCTTGCACTGTCTTTAGTCAATCATGAGTGGCTGGTGCCTCCTGAATCTGGGGAGGCACCCGCAGAAGCCACCGCCCCTGTCAGGGTGGGCATCAGCCCTACTGACAGCATCAGTGTCAGCCATCAGAGGGGGCACCGGCCGTATCGGGGGGGGGCACATGCACCCCCCCTGTGCCTCCTACCAGCTGCCTATGTAGTCAATTATCGTATGGTCTTTACCTGCCACTGCAGATAGGTTATCAGCACACATTGAAATAATAGAAAATGAGGGTTGGAAGGGACCTCAGGAGGTCACATCCACTCCAACCCCCTGCTCAGAGCAGTACCAGCCCCAGCTAGATCATCTCAGCCAAGGCTTTGTCTAGTTGGATCTTGAAAAACCTCCAAGGATGGAGCTTCCACCACTTCTCTGGGTAACCTGCTCTAGTGTTTTAGCACCCTCCTAGGAAGCATATCATTTTGGCTTCCCCTTCTCCAAATTTCAGCATCTTCCCTTGTATTCTCTCAAAGAGCTGTGTATAATGAAGCACTACAACACAGCAAAACACAACAACAATCTTTGTTCCTGCTGCCATAGTCAGCCACACTGGGGCTACAGGTACCACAGTGATGTCTATATTGTTAGGTTTTATGATCGCTTTGACTTTGGTAATAATGACTGGAGGTGTGAGAAGTTTTTTTTTTCCCCCTTTATGATTAAATATGAAGAAAAGGATGGAAGTGAACCACTTTTCGTGCATGTACATTTTCAGCAAGAAAGGCTGTACCAAAGGGAGTAATAACTTCACTATCTTGGTATCCAACTGTGTGCCTGTATATGAAAGGAAACATGAACAATTATTATGACATAAATTAATTGGCTGAAAATGGTCAAAGCGGTATATTTATTTATAAAAGAGCTGTATTACTATCCCTTGCCAAAGGTCTGGCATATAATAAAGCAGAGAGAGGAATTAAAGATTGTCAGCAGAGAATGACTTTTGGTCTATAACACTCAGTTTCTACTATGTTGAGCACCCTAGATATTGTTGGTAGAAAGACAATTTTATTGAACTTCTGTCAGAGACAATGCAGGACTGTGAATACAAAAAGATGTTAAGATCTAAACTGTGGGATAGAGTGGAGGAAAATGACTTCTCAGAGGCTGGGTGGGCCTCTGATAAAATGTGCCTGTATCCCCTCAAAGACTTTTAAGAAGCCATTTTAAAATATAGACAATCTAAATTCAAGGGAAAAAATGTCTAACAGAGTAAAGAGAAACTGGGAGCAAAGGTAAATAGAGTAGCAGCAAATAGTGTTGTGATGAAAGGGCAGTTTCTAAAGTGTGTGCGCTGAGTGATTCAATTTATTATTCAACCCAAACATTGTATAAAGGACATATGATTTGTCAAATAAGCAGCTAAAGAGTGGATAGTGCAAAATGGTCCTAAACTTTATATTTTAAGACCTTACAAGCCAAACTTGAAATAAAACAATTTTCTGGGGTAGAAGTTAGTTGGAAAGTTGGTCAGGGTATGTGTTGGAGGTTGTATATGTCCTGTCCCATGCCACGGTTCATAGGGCTTTACCTGGTGTAGACCTTTGTGTTGAGCTGGGATCCTTTTAGCTGGCATTATAGTAGTTTAGTGGATCTTTAGCTGTGTTAAGTTTAAGTTAGGCCATGTTAGTATAAGTGAGCCGAGGTTAAGGGAAGTAACATAAAAGGAAATGAGTCACAGGGAAAGGCAACTTTTTGAAAAGACTAGCCAGTCTAAAAACATCAAATACTGATTAAGTGTTCAGGTCACTGTATTCTAGCTCCATCAACAGGACAACACAGGAATGTCTCCTTTCTGGCCACATCTCTTGAAGTTTGCATCAAGTAATATTGTAAGCCTTTGTTTGAGGAAGGAGATAAAAAGGTCAGGGCTCTGAGATGTGTTCCTTTGGCATCTTTTCCAGAGGTTCCAGTCTGCAGACATAATGAAGATCCAGTGCCTCTCCCGATGCCTCCCAATCTAGGTAAGATGTCTCCAACAGGCTGGTCACCTGCTAGAATTTCTTAAGATTTTCAGAGGTAGAGATTCTAAATGGCAATAAGACTGCTTATTTCTGCTTAGATCTTGAAAGTATATCAAGATATATATTGTGTTCTTTATTTGCTAGCAATATTCATAACTGGAGAATTGTAATAAAGTTGGCTTTTGCATTTACTCCATTGAAGGACTGGTTTTGCCTGAGAACAGGGGCTGTCAAAAGAAATCCTCAGAGCCCCAGATCTGCTCTAGGGGCAACAGTGGGCTTTACAGGATCACCTAGAACATGCAGTAATGCCTTTAGCAGTCTCAGAACAGTGGTGTGTACTTATTTATATGGTGGTGTAAAACTGATGACAAGATGGTGCTCTTCCAAAATCGTCTGCCTACCAATGATAAACACTGTAGTTGAAATTGTGGTCTCGTGCTGTGCAAAGCAAGAAGTGGGAGCTTTTTTGCGTAGAGTGCAATCTGGGGGCTGCTGGATTATTCTATGACTGATTCATGCAAGTGAAAAGTACTTCCATAACCAAGAAAGCTATGGAAATTAGGGATGCCATATGTGTCACATATAAGATATGAATGAGTAAGCATCTTCTAACTTATTTGTTCATTTATGGGGTGGGTGAGACGTTATTGCAAGTTGTCCTGATTTGTCACTGGGCTCGGAGTTGCCTTGTTTAATTATTTCTTGAAACCTCTAGAATGCAGGGTTGCTAATATGCATGGGGTATTTGTCCCTGATGAATGTTCTGGATTTTGATGCATAGCACATTGTGGTTTTTTTCTGCCATGCGAAATATTGATTTAAATGCAGTGTTCTATGCTAGTTAGTTTGGGGTCAGGGGCTGCCATTTCTGTGGATTGTGTAGATGGCTGGCTGAGTTTCTGTATTTCAATAAAATATTTCACTTAATCCACTGTTTTCCCCAGTCATTTCAATGGATAGGACAGAATCAAGTGGTTCAACACACACAGAGCTTCATTAAACTCACAAATGCGAGCAATGAAAATCTTAAACGTGAGATCACACCAGCCACAAGCAATTATTTCACTCTACAGCAGTGTATAAATCATGGCAAAATGTAAAGCAGGATTCAAACTAAAATGTGCTGTTAGAGAAACCTCAAATGCATAAGAGCACAAGTGGCAGCAGTGATGGGGATATCTGCTGCATGCACTCCCCATCCCTATTCATTTTTATGCCTCCTTTCTCTTGGAGCATGGGGTTGGGTAGTATCACGCAGGCAAGGAGTGAAAGGGGATCGTTTGATTTCTCAGTGATGCCAAGACAGAGCTCATGCTTGTTCCATACAATTTATTAGAACTCCTGCACTGTCTGTGGTTCCTGGTAGCATGCAGAAGATGGATGAGCAGGGCAAACCTCTAATGCTATAATATTGAGACCCTGGAGTGGTGGAGAGGTGTAAAATAGCATTGCACTTATGCTTGAATGTGCTACCATTGAGAGGTTGGCCCTACACAGAGTACATTGTTAATGTCTGCACCAATCCACTCAGAGGCCATCACCAGTGCCCGTACCAAAACCAACACAGATTCTTGTACTCAAAGCTCTAGGTGCCCCACCAGGTCCTGGTCCTGCTCCCTCTTTGTGGTCTGTTTAGTCCCCAAACTGCTGCTTTTGCTCCATCTCCTGCCATGACAGCCAGTTTCAATGGTCCTACTCTTTCTCCAGTAGTTTTGTACCTTTCCTCTTCATCTCAGAAGGCATTTCTTTTGGGTGCCTTGCTGCACATCTGTCAGCAGAGCCTGGGTGTCCATAACCTGTGCTTTGGAAGTACTTGCAATGATATATCTATCTATCTATCTATATAGATAACTCTAGATAGATAGATCTAGACAGATATAGATAGATAGATATTTACACACGCACGCGCACACACAGAGAGAGAGAGAGAGAGAGAGAGAGAGAGTGTCAATTCAAATATTAGAAACAGCTCCCCACCACCCCCATGAGACTTCTGTGTCACTAGGGCACCGTTTGCAGCTGCTTCCATTTTCTGATATGTCATTCCTGC